AATTGCACAATTTTTTTGCTTTAAGGCATGCACATCTATTTGTTGTGCATTTTGTTTTACATTGGCATTTAGAAAATCCCTATCCGGTACCTATAAATCTTTCAAATCAGCAATGACGTGTTTAACAAATTCTCGGCCATTGTCCGATTGCAAAATAGATGGTGCCCCAAATAGTAAAAAAAATCGAAGGAGTTGATCAGCAACTTCATTAGCTATCTTATTCTTGAGACCTCTAAGAATGACAAACTTTGTTAAGTGGTCCTGGTATACCAATATAAATTTAAATTTATCATCTGGCTGTGATTGGAATTCAATTAAATCTACTTGACATCTTGAATTAAAATGAGAAAACACCCTTGGCTTAACCACCAAGCCTTTCTTTTCATTCGCCCTTTTTTTAAGGCACACTTCACAATTATTTAAGAATGTTTGAATATCTTGTGCTGTTATATTTTTAAAGCGAAGGTTAAGTTCCTTTTTCATTCTGTCTCGTCCACCATGTCCAATTGATAAATGAGTTTCATATAAAACTTCAAACAATTCTTCAACAGTAACATAATACAGCACCTTTTCATTTGCTATTGGTGCAATTAGTTTATCCATATTACATACATACACTATATCATAAACTTTTAGTAACCAGAAGTGACGATTTTCTTTTTTCTGAGCAAATTTAGCGGATTTAACATCATTTATTAGTTTTGTATATCTTTCCGCAGTCATACAAAAGCCGTTAGCTTTTTGAGTATTGTTAATATATTCGTAGAATTTAACTTTCATCGCTTCTTTATCCATTTTATATTTATGACAAAAAAAATAATTAAATAATTATTAATTACTCTGGACACATACAATTTAAACAATTCACTTACCAAGAATCTCAAACGGAAAAACAGCAAACAGCAAACGGTGCAGCACGAATAAAGAGGTTAGGTTTTAGGTTTCCCGGCAAATTTAACCCACTTCGCACTTTGACTAGAAGCAGTCCGCGAATGCATACATCCACTAGCAAATGTGTTCATTTCGGTTAAAATGAATACTTTAACTACGGAGTTTAGCAAATGTATGCATTGGCTAGTAAATGTATATTTACTAAATGAATGCTTTGACTGCAACATATATACCAAATAAAGCGATACGAATAAGTTTGCTGTTGATGTTAATGAAATGAAAATTCTTTGTATCTATTTTTATTGGCAGCATTGTGTAAATCTATCGGCATTAGATTTAATACGAGGCAGTAAATACAAAAGGGCACATTTGATAGAATCACTTCTATACCGATCCAATCCGAAGCCGACCAGTAGAACGTCAGTCTTTCAAACGCGGCGTCAGTTAATAACATTTATATCAGCTTATCTGTACGTCAGATATCGTAAAGGCGCATGAAACGTATCCGACGGGTTACTCCGGCGTTAATCTTCAGAAAAAAAAATATTCAAACCATATCGGTTCACACGACCAACTTTAGAATATTATTAGATATATAAATAGAAATAAATGCAGCATAATAACCTGGGTCGTAACTTATACGGTAAGAAGGACGTGCGAGCAGGAAATTTTCTTGAATACTGGTTTGGCGGTGACCAATGTCCGTTTAAGGCTTTCATCGTCTAGATTCGTAGTATCGCGTTGCAAATTTAATGCCGCATGTTTGCATTCCATTATGAAGCTAATTCGACTGAAAACGTACTCATTCAGGGTGCATGCTCGTTTTGTGTACGATTTTCGCTAGTATGTCACTAGATGTCAAATTAATATCCCGAAATTTTCTAGGTATGATGGCGAATGTTGCTACTAAGTTTTGTTGTGTTATTGTAAGTATTAATTTTAATTTTATTACTGCCTACTTGACCGATATAATATATTCAACAATATATGGTGCTCAACATAATAAAAAATAATGAAAATTTCTATTCCAACCGGCAAGCTAGGGACAGTGTTCCAAGAAGAGATCACAAAGACGAAAAAAAATTGCAATAAAACAATTGCGATCTACACTAACGACATAACATCCAAGTTAGTTTTGGATTGTTATAACGCATTAAATGGGAGAGCAAGTCCATAGCACGAAGTCTACCAAGATAACCTGTTGTTTTGTTTCACAGTGCTTATATTATATTAGCACCAGGTAAGAAAATATATAAGTGTATTGGTTGCCAAAGTGTGTTTAAAGATTTTTCTAAGCAATTATTGGAAAAGCCGCAAAAATTTTCGTTGTATGAAAATTGCAACATGGATTTTTACTCTATAGCGGATTTCATACACATATGCAATACCTCAAACAATTCGCAAATCTGATAAAAATAGAATAAATTTTTGGAATTGCACTTTAGTTAATTGCGTTTTTATAACAAAACAACTTCAATTAAAGATTTTAACGCTGAACGCTCGTCAGGGCACATGACTCGACCAGACCAGAGAGACGAACCGAAAGTAATCGAAACTATGGAGGGATTCACAATAGACCGTATGAATCTGAGTTGTCCTACATACAAAAATCAGTTAGCGATGCGAACTTATAGCAATAGTAAAAGTTAAACTCATGACCCACATCATCTAGCACAAAATGTTTCTAGCAAGAGGAACAATAATGTACTTGATTTATTTAGAAAAAAGAACGAATAAATTTGAAAAGTTGAGAAGACAAGTGACAGAATATATAAATACCGGTGTCATGCTTAGTGGTTTAGTGTTTACTTTAATCCTGTAACTTTAATAATAACTAACAAATATGGACAGTCCTCGCAACAACTAATTAAAACCACAAAAGCTCCTCTAAAAGCTCATTTAAAAGCTCTGACTCCAAATACTCCCCTAAAAACTCTAGTTCTAAAAGCTTTACGAGTATTTTGTGCTACTTCTGCTTTAAACCTTTAAAAGCTTAATAAAATCGATGTGAGACTAAATTATAATTAAAGTAATTAGAGTTATGCACCTACTTTAGTTATAATTGAATTTGAAAGCTAATATTCAAGTGTTAAATATGCACAAAACAGGCTAATAGCTCGAAACCCTAGAAAACAAGCGAGAGGTTGCTGATGACAATCTTTTGCTTATAGTACAAATAATTGGGGGACCTACTCCCAAACAAAATTTATTATAATACATAGGTTATTGACTGACATATAGGGCACCTAACAATTCGCGACTCCTCAAAAGCGAATTCCATTTTATGCACGTTGCGTTGCATTCCTTCACTCATCGGCGAACGAGAAGGACTGACCCTTTCGCGCAAAATTTAAGAGTCCATAAATTTTTCATGCTTTCTCTTTTGGTAATTGCAGTCGAAAATCAGGATAACGCGAAAGCAATTGCAAAATTTATCGACACCATTACTCTTGTAAACGTTGCGGAACGCTTGCGTTTTATTAATTTATTATTGACGACCGGCAGTTTAAAATCAACCACTAACGTCGGCGGCGGCAGCAAATAAAACAATTAAGGTTATAAAACAATCCTGCGTCCTACAAATGTTACGAGTTCGATGTTTTTCTGTTGTAAACCACATAAACTTCTAAGCAATATCTGAATGTATCAAAAGCTATAGGTGCGTAGCAGATAAGTAATCTTCGAATTTAACGGTTATATGTTTTTTTGTGTTTACTGTAAAATTAACTATAACCTAACTTGGTGGTATTTTATATTGGCGTAAAGTATGAAGCCAAAGGAAAAGGTTATAAGAATATCCTTATTATTATTAATTAATATATGTCACATTTGGTTAGTTTTGGTCATATTTTTACATACATACATACATATCTTTATGATGTTTGGATTGGCACTGTCCTTTACGAGAGACTTTCTCACTTCATTTTCACAAATTCCGACTTAAATTAGGAATTCTGATTAATTCCTCAAAAATTAGCCTTAATAAATCCAGAAGATGGGAATGCCACCGCATGTATCACTCTTTTAATTAGGTATATTTTAACTATAGGCATTTTTGAAGCATTCAAAAAGCTGCCGCAGCATAATATCTCAAAATTAACCGGAACTGGTTATGCTGACTGATTTTTGAAAAATAGAAATTAAAAGTAAAGAAAAATTATTATTTAAACTTAAGTTCTTCAAACGAAATTATAATTATCTCAATTTTCCCAAAAAAATCTATACCGTCAAATTCTTCAAATACGCTTTCTTCTTTATTTCACGCTCTTCTCATATTCTAAAACATCTGCAAAACTTCTATCGCCATCATGGTATCTAATAAAAACAAAAAAATGTTTAGCAGAATTAACAGAAAATGGCAAATATTTTTGAGTTAAGCTAGAGCTAACAGCATTAACCAGCACACGATGATAAGGGTTAAGTTATTTCTCAGAAGGAACCGCCCTGGGTTAATCGATAACGAAGCATCTTTCTGTGAACGAATATATATTACGCGCTCTTTGCATGCGGATCTAACTTTTTTCATAGATTCACGCTTATTTGTATAATAAACAAAATAGTAGAATATAATTTGCGATATATCAAAAGTTCAATAATTATTCCGATAATTTTAATCAATACGTCGCTCCAATGATTTGGGAAAATGTCAATAAGCATATACGTAACGCTCCGTTGCGAAATTTTCTTCTTGTGAGGTTAGTTTGTTATTTAATTTGCGTGTTTGTAATAGTACGTGTGTGGTCCTCTACGCGGAAGATTTAATTGAAGTGTGTAACATGCACGACCTGCAGGTTTTGCAACGTATTTAAAACGCGATATTAATTGGCAGAAACATACAAAAAAAATTTCCTCGGTACTGATATCTGTAAATAATATCATTAAAGTGACTCGTTGATTGTTTTGTATTTTCTAATCCTGAGTGGTGCCTTCATTGTGGTAACTCGTATTAAACGAGAATGTCTAGGAAATAATAATATGAAGTAACATCTTCTTCTTTACTTTGGAGCTGTTGTTAACAATTCAGAAGAAGAAAGAAAAGAAAAATCAGGAATAATGGTAGAAGTTTTAGGTTACGTGATGATGTCGTGATGGTTGTCAGAGATTTTCGCTTTGCCACGTAGTCTTCATTTATTTATTTTTGTATTCTTGTTAAAATTCCTTTTTGTTTAAGTTGTCTCGGAGAAGTCTATTTATTATAGATATGTCAAGTTGAAGCTTTAGAGTTTGGTAATAAAAAGTGCTAATGTTTTATTACTCAAAAATTAATATAAAACTATATATAAAATCTCAATGTTGATCGAGTCGTATCGTGTCGGTGGACCATGTCGCCGGACAAAAAAATGGATCCCCTAAATACTGACAGTGAGGCGGTCATTTTCTACGACATATCCTGCACAAACGTCAACGAACCGTCTTTAAAAAGGCAAACAGAATGCAGAAAGAATCCCAATCTAGATATAGCTCAACTGAAATTTCTTCTGACGCTGACGGAGCACAAAAATGACACCGAATATTCAAACAAACTATTGCGCCACATCGAAGAAAACGATATGGCCCCATTTTACGAACTCGTGTGCAAAGAACTCGATTGGGAAGTAAGTCAATATAAGTAATAGATTAAGTAGACCTATAAACGTCGCCGCTCCTAGCTTACCCTGCAATTTACTAATCGAAAAGTGAATATTTCAAATAGAAGCTTGTGATTTGTACAAGCCCTTAAAGAAAATGCCAGCACATTTTCAATTATAATTACTTATTATATGCCTCCCTCTAAAATAGGTAAAATAAGTTTGAACCATATAGAAAACTATTAAAAAAGAGAATTGTAGATTCCGTAAGACCATATTCACCACCACCGTGAACTAACCTAACGAATTTTCCCGCGAAAAATGTGAATTGTGACAGTTATGTTCAAATATTATATATATAAATATATAATATAAATAGCCAACAAATAGCAAAATAAAAAAAATAGTGGATGGTCCCCTTTAGTTGATAATAAGTTATAAGAAGGAACCATATCATAACTAAAAATAAGTAATAATAGCGCAGCTATGTTGAATTACAATAGGTTTTTCATATCTTTGAAACTAAACAAACAACAAAACTAATGCATACATAATGTATAGGCAAAAAGTGGACTATTGCAGAAAAAATTGTAATTTTACATATATACATAGATCGTAACTCAATTTGTTCAAATTTGAAACAACTGAGTTGTTCTACAGGCACATTACTAATTGAATTTTATTGCTCTTTTTTTATTAGCTGCAAGAGTATAGATGCTCTATACTCTTGCTTCTCAGTGCCGACAGGACGTTCGGTTGTCAGCAAAGTTTTCAAATTATTTTTCAATTCTATTGATAATATAAACCTACATAATAACTCGAAAAATACCCGGTGTGCCAATAAGGGCAATAATTGACAACCATTGTTATATTTAAATATTAAAATGTGAAAAGTTGCTTAAAAAACAAATAAAACACCTTTGACAAAAATCATTGGAAAACTAACAAATTTTGTTTTCATGTGACTACGCATCCTTCATGTCGTTATTTAACGCTTATGAAAATCTTTTGATTGTCCTACCGTTTTAAATAGCCAGTTTAAATTCACCTAGCATAAGTCTCGTACTGTGATGATGTTTATTTAAATAAAAATGTCTTATTTAAAAAGGAGATGAAAGAGGATGAAGAATACTGATTATTTCAATACACTTTTAACTTCTTAAACAAATTCCATAATTAATGAAATTAGTTGGCCTTAACTGATAACTGATTCACTTTCAGTTATTTGACTGAATTAAGCAAACGTGATTTGAAAAATTGTTTAAAAAACAAATAAAACATCTCCTTTGACAAAAATCATTGGAAAACTAACAAATTTTGTTTTCATGTGACTACGCATCCTCCATGTCGTTATTTAAAGCTTGTGAAAATCTTTTGTTCGTCGTACCGTTTTAAATAGCCAGTTTAGATTCACCTAGCATAAGAAGTATCGTAATGTGATGAAGTTTATTTAAGTAAAAATGTCTTATTTAAAAAGGAGATGAAAGAGGATAAAGAATACTGACATTTCAATACACTTTTAACTACTTAAACAAATTCCATAATTAATGAAATTAGTTGGCTTTAACTGATCACTGATTCACTTTCAGTTATTTGACTGAATTAAACAATAGTGATTTGAATATATATCAGCTTTTAAACAGTATTCACTCTAACTATGGTTAATATAAGAAAATTTTGCAGAAATCTGGAATAGAAGAATAATGTAATATTATCCGATTTAATTTTTTATTTATTTTTTTAATGTCTAGACTTGTCCGTTTTCCTAGTGCTGTACTTCGTTTCCCTCACTGCCACACCGAGTTTCTAAAAATGAATAACTAACTAAATGAAACTAGGAGCGGCAAATGTTCAGCATTTCTTTGTTTGTTTAGTTTAGGAAGCAACTAAAATTTGGTTGCTATTTAAGATCAATCGGGAACTGTTCGATCGGATGAAAGAATCCAACGCTAAACGACTTGATTTGTTGGACGCAGAAATCGAATTTGCTCGCGGCAATTTAGGCGCGATCGAAGTAAAAGAAGCGTATCTGGACAAAGCAAATTACTTGAGCAGTATAGGCGATAAAGACGAAACAATAAAAATGCTAAGTCAGGCGTATGCTAATACAGTGGCGTTGGGTTGCCAGTTGGATAACGTATTTCACCGCATACGGCTGGGATTATTTTTCAACGACTCGGAGCTAATTAAGAAGAATTTATCGCGATGCAATGAGTTAATTGAAAAAGGCGCCGATTGGCACCACAGGAACTGCCATAAAATATACAAAGGTTCGTGTTGTATGGGGTGGTCAGATAAGAATGCAAAATGCTCGCGCATTTATATACAGTAATATCGACAGCTTCATAGTATAATTTTAATATTTTTCACAAGTGGGACTTAAGTCATTCCTCCATGACCTACAAAAAAGCGCGCTCTAGCGGTATCAGTAACAATCAGTAGGAAATCATTTTTTCCCAGGAGACCAAGCACGTTAAAATCTTTGAGTTTCAGGAGTTACAGCTGTTTATAAAAAAACATGCCCACCACAGATACCTCAAAAAGTGTTACATAAAAATTACTCGAATTTACTAGGTGGATTTCAGAGAAAATGATGGCAGGTCCTCTGAAGGCTAAAAATATTTTTCACGCTCTTCTTTTAACCACAGGGGAAACAAAATTTCGATTCATGTCGCTAAGACGAATGGTTTCCGAGATACTTTGCATTCTATCTGGCCACCCGTCTTTTCCCGTACATACAGGGTGTTACTGAAATGACGTCAGATAATTTAACGAGTGAATCCCAGGGTCTAGAGGCTATTGGTAAAAATGATTGTTATAATGGTTGGTACCAAATTTAGGTTAGGTTAGGTTTAGGTTACTTTAATTAATCTAAATTTCGAAAAGAAACAACAGGAAAACACTTACTTTCAGTCCGGTCCTCCGGTGTGGTAGAAATTCAATTTGTTCGATTTGGCCACATTATTTTCTTATAGTTTCGTATTAGTGCCGACCAAACACAGTTCGGTATTCCCGCGACTTCAAAGCGACGGAGATAAAAACCGCCGATATCAAATAAATGACGTCGAACCGTTAATACCTTTTGTCAACTCTGTAAAGTAAATGATTCCCGACTATCGCTGATTACATCTCGAGATCTTAGATTTTAAACCCATGGGTTAGCGACCCGGAACATTTTTATAAAGTAGTGAACAACACATCTGTTAGAAATGCGTTATGGATACACCCACATAAAATGAAACCCCAATTACATATCGAATTATTATAATATTAAAGATTCCACATTCAAAATAAATAAGAACTAAAAGTTCCGATTTTCACGAAATTATATATTTTGACATGACAATTGTTTCGACAACACCGTGTCTTTATCAAACGGTGTTGAGGAACAATTGTCATGTCAAAATATATAATTTCGTGAAAATCTGAACTTTTAGTTCTTATTTACTTTGATAAATGGATTTTCATCAAGTAAAAGCCACCTCAGTTCAATTAGATTCCACATTCACCATTTAAATCTAAAGCAGGAAATTCTGAACGATACTGAGGTGGCTTTTACTTGATGAAAATCCAAATCCGAAACACAATTAAATTGGAACAAAAAATATTCAGATTTTCAGTTATTTAACGATTTATGACAGGTATTTGAAATAGGCAACACCGTGCCTTTGTCAAAAATATCTTTGACAAATTGGAACTACCACTTTTTTTCAAATTTTCTAAAAGACAGTGAAGATTTGCTGTAGGAAAATAATAATTAATATTGAGTAAAAGCCACTGATACTAATACTAATACTTCACATATGAAAATATTTGGGTTTGAGATTCTTCTTTAGATTCGCTAAAAATGACGCACTAAATTTCTTTTATTATTCAGCACATAAAGATACTATTTGATCATTTTGTGTTATTGTAGTAAAATTTAATTTTTAATTTTAGGTCTGTTTTCACTGACAGTCAGAGATTTTATGACAGCGAGCAATGCATTCGTCAGCTCCATATCGACTTTCGTATGCACGGAAATTACATCTTACGAAGAGTTCATCAGATACACCATCCTAACCTCCATGCTAACATTAAAACGGCAAGACCTTTACGGGAAAATCCTAACAAATCCTGAGATAGGTAAAGTGCTGCATTACAACGAAACTTTAAAAAAGTTTGTCCATTCGCTGTACCACTGCGAATACAAAGAGTTCTTTAACAGCCTGGCAGAAATAGAAATAAGGATGAGGAACGATATGCTGCTATACCCTCACTACCGTTTCTATGTTCGCGAGATGAGGATCAAAGCGTATGACCAACTACTTTGCACTTACATTTCGGTAAGTCTAGCGTATATGGCCGACCGATTTGGAGTAAGCGAAGAATATATCGAAAACGACGTGAGTAAATTCATAGCGGCCAAAAGGTTAAATTACAAGATTGACAAAATCGGTGGAAAACTACTGAACCTTCGCAGCAATAAAAAACAGGAAATGTATGAAAACGTTTTGAAGCAAGGTGACCTTCTCCTGAATAGAATACACAAACTCAGCAGGGTAATAGATATTTAAAACAGATGCGAATATGCAAACATGAAATAAAAGGTTCGAACATGCACGTGTTTTTTAATTAATCAATCAAGAAGAATAACAATCCGATTTAACTTTTTACAATTTAAAAAAATCAAATAAAACCAAGTATCAGTATGCTTTTAGTTAGCAGAGCAGTAGATAAATATAGATAACACAGGTCTATAGTGTTTTTGATGTTTGAAAGCTGTTTGCTTATTTGTATATTTTTAGGAGCCCATTTTCCAAAAAACGCCATATTTTTGCTCTGTCACGTCAATTTTTTTTTGTCGCTCTATATCGCAAAAATGTTATTTTATTCCATGTTAGGCATAGCACATTCAGTAGAAAATAAACTACCAAGAACATCAATGGATGCTGATGGTGACCTCAAAGTGATGTGCATGCTCCTAGGGAAACAGGGGTGTTATACAAAATTTCTTTTAATATTTACAAGTAAAGGCAGAAAATTTTTGAAATCAGCCTACCAAAATTATATAAAATCAGTTTTCAAAATAAATATATATAAAATATGATACAGCTCAGCACATAATATTGTCATGGCTTGCCTAGCCTATCAAGTACACCGAGCAATAAACAATAAATAGCGTTTATCAGTACAGGAAGGTATTTTTATTTTGATCGTTATGCAAAATTTGTTTGCAGATCTTCTAAAAACGTCAGATGACATGGAAACTGCCATTGGGATGACAGTGAAGTTAACTGTCATTCCTTGATAATGATTTACTAGAAAGAAAGGAACGATGGTGATGCAAAGTGAATTTGCAGAAAACTGTATACGTACTATGAGAGTAATCATATCCCGTCACTTGAATCATTGTAACAGACAAATTTTGGGCAAACGCTTTCCTACTTTCAGCAAATAACATTAAAGACTGCTCATTAGACTTCCAGGAAGTTCAAAATTGGATAAAAAATTGTCTTCTTCCAAATATCCCACCAGTTAGCGTTATTATAATGCTAGTTATTACAGCACGAAAGAGCTAAAAAAGTACCAACGATCAGCAACATGACTAATATGGACCGAATTAAAAATCAAAGTCAATGTGAATTAACAGCAGTTGAAGAAAATGTGCTTGAAGCGTAAAATAATTATAAAAATAACTTCGAACCACGTAAAACCTTTAATTATATCCTTTGATGATAGTGATAATTAATATTAACACGCAATTATTATTTATATTATTTATATAATTACATTTATACAGTACGAAATAAAATTAAATGTATTTATATATTTTGTGTATCAATTTCCTGAATATCCTGGACCGGTTTTAATATACTTGCCCAAAAATGCCTACGAACAGATAAAAACGTTGATACCATTATTACAGTCATGATCAATTATCTTGTGTCAGACTATACCAAATTTCTCTCTGGCTTTATGATATCCAAATAGTTTTCATCGATTAGAAAAATGTATCAAGGCAATCGATAGATAAATTGAAAAATTCATGCAGTCGCTCAGAGTAACACAAATTAATGATGATGATGCCAATTTATGTTTTGGCAAATGATATGCTCTCCAAAATTTTGCTATTGAAAGTAGTTGACATTCTGGAGACACTTTTAATCATTAAATAAATATGACATTCTACACCAACGTTGCCTTTCTATTTCCATGCTCTACTTTCTTGATACTACACATACATTAAAAAACTGAAGTGTGAGCCAGTAGTTTTCAACGAACTTTCTCGAAAATGCAGTACTGTAATCATAAAAAAAAGGCATCATTTGAAAACCAGTAAATATTCGGCAACATGGCCGTCCCGTTTAAGACAGGAAACGAGTGAATCGCCATACCGTGCTTTTGCTCTCGTTCGTTTTTCTCCCCTTTCAGGTGTTATTTAAAGAATTCGCGACAACTAGAGTTATTGCCGATGCCACGCGAGAAATTTGTTTTTACCGTGAGACGAATGACTTCGCCTGAGGTTTGCGTCCATCCGTAAAAAACATTTCGCTCGCATATGGTCAGAGGTACGAAAATGAAGGCCGCAATTATTTTAATTCGCGCACGCATTTATGAGGTAGCTGTGGCAACTGTATCAAAGAGATATTTATTGCCCCTGACTCCCAAGAGGAATACTACCAGCCAGGCACTATAGCGGCCGTTTTCCATTTTGGGCCGTCCAGGAATTCCAATGTTTGAAAATTGAATGCTATTAATGTCATTTACATACCAAGAGATTATATAGATTTTTCTACTACCTTTTGTGACCATCACAAGAATTAAAACAATATTCTGATTGCTTTGCTGCAACAGTATCCACAGGTCACCAAACCATCCACAGTAAAAAAAAAAGCTTTATCTCCTAAACAATAGATTCCGCCAGAAATTAGGCAGTCGGCAAAGATCGTATCACTTGAATTACTAGCAAATAAATCTCGGAAGAGATATGAACTAGTGTACAGCAGTTGCAATTGGGCTGGAGAAAGAACAAATCAAGAAAAAAGAAGATGTTGTTTTGGTGTCTTAAAACCTACAACTTTTTGGAGTAAACACAACATGAGGAAAAAGCTTAGTGCGGGGAAAATGCTGATGGCTTGCGGCAGCGATAAGTTACGAACACTCTCCGGCATTGAAGTGAACATGGCAAAACCAATTACAGGGTACTGATTAATTGAATACCGATACTTTAGGATGTAAATCTTTGGGTAATTTTAAGAAGAAAAATTACTCTACATAAGTGGTAAATGTCTTCATTTTGGAACTGTAGTAGGGTGTTTTATGACAAAAATATTTTTTATATGATAATTAATGACATTTTTTGCCGTGGAAGATTATTGTAATTTTTAACAGTGAAGGTCGTAAGGAGTTTGATTTTGGATATTCTTGAAGAAAAAACTGGTACCCCCCTGTTTTTGAAATTGAATTTGAAATTTTTTGACATCAAAAAATTTCTTAATTGAGACTGCTTTTGATACTATGTGGAAAAAAATTTCACGCAGGTAGGTAGGAAAACCTTAACACTCTCCAGTTTCAAAATTAAGAGATTTACGTTATATTCATTTTTGTTTTTAAAATCAGTGAAGAAACCAAGAAAGTTTTCGGTTGTTGCCAGAGATGGATGCGCCTTTCTGTTCTAACATTTGATTGATTTGAACGTAAATAAACTTAACCTCGAATTGACGTTGCAAAAAAAAAATATAAAGAACTTTTAATAAAGACTCTCGTCTCTTTGAAACAATCAAAGAGAGAAAAGTTTTGAAAATATAAATTAATCTTAGCGCCGTCACCACCTTAGGAACAGGATTTCAACAGCATGGAAGAATGTGGTAAAAATAATTATTTAAGCAAGCTGTGGTTGAAATTTATATTTGATATATATTTATATTTGAGATGCTACAAGATTGTTTTCGATATTTTTTGTTGATAAATTTGAACCATTCTTACATTTTCTAAAAATGTAGCATTATTTTGTTTAGAAAAAGTGTAATATTTATCAATATACGACCGAGCAGAGACGATAATTTACAGTTTAAACAAAAATTGTGCAGCAAGTTCATTTCTAAATTGTTATTCGGATTATTGCGCTGGCTATTGCCGATGTCTGCCGCCAAGTTACTTAATATTCAGCGGACCCAATTTCGCTAATAGATAACTAAATACTTTAGTAAACAGAGTCACGTTAACGACGCCGTCACCATAACAAATAAAGACAAAGTACTTCGCTGCGATCAGTCAATAGCCTTTCAAAATGCTGTAAAATTTACAGCCACCGTCTTCCATAAAATCTTCGGTTATACGATCAGCAATTCAGGAGTTAATAAACTCGAAATGATGCTCGAACACGTGTTTCGGAACTCTCTTTTTGGAAATCGATGTACGAAATATTTCGCACAGCAAAATGAAAATTAATCTGAGAGAGCCAATTGAGTCATTGAGTCATTGAGTAAATTTAATAGCTAGTCTCATGAATTTAGCAGTAGGGTACAAAATAATATTGCATGGTTGTATATAAAACATTAGACAGTCATGAAGGAAGTAATGAGCAGCAAATATCATCTTACTTGTCTTCCTCGGAGCGAACACAACCACCATCCTTCGATGTTCGCGGTGTTCTGTTCGAGGACAACCAAGGTATCGCCCTTTTGAAAAGCTAACTCATCAGGCGAATCGGGAATATTGTCGTATAGTGCTCTGGCTAAACAATGCTGAAACAAAAAAAAGGAATAGTTAAACAAAATCGTTGTGGGATAGTCTACCAAATATGGTAAAAGTTTTCTCGGATGCGTTTCATAAATTGTTTATAAATTGTTCATTTTACTACTCAATTGTACATTAAAATTATATTGTTTATATTTTTTAGATGAAATCTTCGGTTTTGGTTAGTTAGTGAGTAAATTTAAATTAACAAAAATAAAATTAAAACTCGTTTATCCCTGTATATCGAAAACGAAGCATTTTATCATGAGTATTGCTTTCAATCAAAATTGAAAAAATTGATATACAGCGTCTGTCAAAATTATAGCAGCCGTTTATCAAAAACAGGTTACCAATTTTAAAAATACTAATCGACCTTCCGAAAACGCAAAAATAATTTAGCAAAATGACCATATTAAGTAATAGCAAAATTTACTATTTAGAAAATAACTACTAATTTTTTCAGACCCTGTATGTCAAGTTTATATACCTTATCTCAGAACCTGTAAAAATATCAAAAAAACTTAAAGAAACAAAATTCGCTTTCCTCTTAGAAGGGAGTCTAGTTTGCTAGTCCCTGATGATAATTAAAAGATAAATAAATACAGGGTGATAAGAAAACATTCAAATTTTCAATGCAAACGTTCAAACTTTCACATGATAGTTTTTTAAAAAATGTGACTTTGTATAACATTGAATATTTCAGCTATAGATTTCGAAGTACTAGCGGCTATTAATTGGACAAGAAGTGTCAAATTAATACGGAACAATGTAGACATTTTTGAAAAAAAATGGATGTCTTCAAAACTCGCAAACATATGAATGACCGCCAAAATTGTATTTTTTTAAATTTTAAGGTAAATGTTGTTAAAAGAAAATATTTATTCTGAATAAGATGGGCTTTAGTATTCACCAACCCCTGTTCAAATATATTCTTTAATTTTTTGTTGGTACGGAAATTGGAAAAAAGTTCACAATGTCCATCATTTTCCGGCAGTTAGATGGTAATCTAAAAGTGCCAAATTATTATTTACTCTCGCTTCATTGCTTTATTGGATCGATTGAACTCGAAAACGCAAAAAGTTGCAAAATTACCAACGGAGCGAAATTTATCGGCGAAACGATTTTGATAAGTTATGGCCCTTGGGCGCAGTAAAACCTGAGTTCTAATTTATCGGTATTCCATTCGGAAGCCAGCAATATCGTCGTGGACGCCTTTATTTATTATTCATAATTTATTTAAGTGTTTTAGGAATCAATAATACGGGGAAGATTGATAATCGCTAAAGTATTTATCAGTAATTACCATAGACACAACTTTATCAAATAAAACGTTATTTAGAAATAATATTTTGCCAAACATTTGACATTTGCTCGCGTACGAGGCCCAGAGAGGGTTAAGTAAAATTGATATTGATATATTGATACATTATATCCTTTATACTTTTCAAGTACAGTAAAACCTCTGTTACTGATCTTACTCATAGAACGACCACTCGTATACAGGATGTCTCACGACATGACTGCCATAGCTTGGGAGTGTGATACTAGTGTGATTTGAAGTGAAAAGTATCAAATGAACATATATACCCGGAACACTATTCTACAATCATTTGAAATTTTAAACACCATTTAAAAGAAACTACTTTATTTTTTTTTATTATTCATTTATATTTTATTTTATTGAATTAGTTGTTCAGTCCACTTATTGTATACATGGTCTTATGTATTCCCCATAAAAAGTAATATTAGAGATTAAGGTCAGGTGACCTTGCTAGCCAAGGAATTGCTGAACCTCTTCCAATCCACCGGTTTGTATAATTTTGATCAAGAAATTCTGTTGTCGACCAAAGCGAGGAAGTGCGACATCGTGCTGAATCCATATTCGTTGTCTTACATTAAGAAAAACATCGTCCAGTAATATTGGAAGCTCATTTTAAATGAAACGCAAATAACGAATGGCCGTGAGACATTCTTCAATTGCAAACGGACGGTCATCAATAATGCCACACCAAATATTCACCGAAAATCTATCTTGAAAATGGGATTCCTCAGTTTGTCGCGGATTTTCAAGTGCCCAACAATGTAAATTGTTGGTGTTATTGATACCGTTTCGGGTAAATAAATGAGGCAAGTCTTGAAGAGTAGTCGGCAGGTTTTAAAGCTTGTACAGATGGGATGTGGTACAGGTACAAACCGAAAATGTATAAAGTTCTCCATAGTCTCATCCTTCCTACGTTAAGTCTATTACCTATTCTTCGGTAGCAGGTTGAGCATCAATAGCATATTATGCAATAAGTGCGGTAAACGGCATTTGACTCACGAGTGTATTTGACACGAGCGGAGCGAGTCAAAAAGTTTACCGAACGTGTTGCATACTATATTTTTTCTACGACCGTTAGTTTTTGGGTACATTTTCGCAAAACACGAATACATTCACTGACATGACTGTCAGAATTGACAAAAGTCAAAATTCAAAGCGTGGGAAATATTTCGGAAAACATCCGATTGCTCCCAAACCCGTGCGGTAAAATCCCGGAAATGTCCAAAGTGGCTCGGATCCGTGGGAAACGAAACTGACGTGGTAAAGCGACGCTTCCCGCACGCTAGATCGGTGGGTAATCAGGCATTTTACAGACGGGAGTAGAAAAACATATTAAGTATTGCCTCTTCTTGAGAAGGTTCCTGTTCAATGCGACGTTGAGAAGTAGCTCTAGGAAACTTGCCTGTTTTTCTCAACCATCGATGGCCATTGCTAAAAACAATTCTAGAAGACACTGTAGGAGTGGGAAATCGCCGACAATTTTCACGAAAATAAATAAGCAAAATTAATTTAATTTACGTTTACTGTCACAATACATAAGATTCACAGATACCTGAACTTTTTAGTAATGATATTAGCAGCCGAACGTAATAATAGATCAATTAATTCAATAAAGCGGTTTCTTATTAAATGTTCTTTAAAATCTCAAATGCTTGTAGCTCAGTTAGAATAGCGTTTCGGGTGTATGTTCATCTGACATTTTTAACTTGAAATCACCCCAACAACACACTCCCAAGCTATGGCAGTCATGTAGTGGAACACCCTGTATAACCACCGTTTTCGCTTTTTGCATTAAAAAACTAGAAAATCCATTCAATTTCTGTGTTTTCCCTTTGAGGGATTCTATTGTATTTTTGTAGGCAGCAATCGGTATGATCATTCTTAAGAAAAAATACTTTGGGGTTGAGGTTTTTCAAGACAAAATTCATATCCTTCAAGATTTTCCATAGTAGTTTTATACTTCTTAAAGGAATGCACTCATCATGTCCAAGCTCTATCAAAATTCTGCCTTGAGTGAGCCTTTTCTTTTTAATATATAACGAGTAAATATTTCTTTTTGTGGGATTTTTGCTGGTCTTCCTGAACTTTTTTGGTACTGTTGCTTTTCATTCCATTTCCAGGCATTCTACAACACCTCTCAAGATTTTCTATTACCGTAAAATTGGGTGGGCTAGGTGTATTCAATCTTGGATATATTTTTTTGTTATGGTGGCACACATGTGCCTAACATGTGTTCACAGTTCCGGCCAGTTTGCACTTTTACTTTTTTTCTGCTGTGAAAACAGTAGAACAAAAATTTGCATAAAATTTTGAATAAAAAAATGGATTTTAGTCCTGCATTTGAAATGTTGACAACGGCATATGGTGAATTTACTTTGAACAAAAAAAATGTTTGTAAGTGGTACAAGCTGTTCCAAGATGACCCAGAAGACGTCGATGGCGAACCTCGCTCTGGACGCTCCAGCAAGTGAAACAAATGGTATAGAAAAATTGTCGAATCACTACTAGAGAAGTGATTGAAGACGTCGGCATCTCTATTGGCTGGTGCCATGCAATTTTTTCCGAAGTTTCGGGTATGAAACGTGTAGCAGTATAATTTGTTTCGAAACTGCTTAATTTTGAACAAAAGGACCGTCGAAGGAGCATCGCTCAAGAACTGTTAAACGACGTCGCTGATGATCCTGATATGCTTAAAAAGTTCATAACTGATGACGAATCATGGAAAAACCCAGAATCGCCAATAAAGAAAACAGCACGTCAAGTTCGATCAAATGTCAAGGTTTTGCTAACTGTTTTCTTTTATTATGAAGAGTTCTTACCACAAGGTCATACGGTCAATAAAGAGTATTACCTGCTCATTTATCGTTGCTTGTGCCTAACTTTCTTAGGTCAAAAATTAAAACCACAATCATGCCTCGGCCACCATATTCACCAGATGTGGCCCCTGCGGCTTTTTCCTGACCCCAAAACTCAAGAAACTCAGGAAATTAGGAGGTTTGGAACGATTGAAGAGGTAAAGAAAAAATCGCTGGAAGCACTCAAGGCTATACCAGAAAATGCTTAAAAGAAGCGCTTCGAGGATTGGATAAACCGTTTTAGTTTCAAGGGGACAATATTAATTTGGATGAATAAATAAATACTTTTTGGTGAAACTTAAAAGTCATCCTACTTTTTAAACACACCTCGTATATCCGTGTTTCATGAATTATTTTTAAATTTGGTGATTGTGAAAGAATCCCGCGCACAATTAAAAAAAATCATAAATCTGCTTATCTATTAAAATAAATCGTATATTTTACAGACATATGTACCAACTCAACAACAACAACAACACCAACTGAAATAAACAAGGGACCAGAAAATTATGTTTATCATAATTACTAAGAAAACCCGCAGGGTGTGTAAACAAATTCCCAAGAAATTAACCGCCTTTCTAATCCCCGATCGATAATCCTCACGCGTTAAATGATCTCGTTAAAAAGACAGAAACGCCGCAAAGGGTTCACATATCAAACCACGGCAGGGGTTAAAACCACATGGGTTCGAATTTCGGCTTCCCTCGAAGCTGTGGGCTCATATTTTTCCCAGTACTGACAAATAATACAACTAGTTCACAATTTTTCATTATAATTCGGGATTTATTCTAATATTAATGAGATTTACTTCGTCCAAAAATAGTTACGAATT